TAGATAGATAGATAGATAGATAGATAGATAGATAGATAGATAGATAGATAGATAGATAGATAGATTTGTTTGATTGATAGATGATAGATTAGATTAATTGATAGATGATAGAATAGGTAGATGATAAATAGATGGATGAATGATGGATGGATGATGGATGGGATAGATGGATGGATGAGATGATAGGTGATAGATTAGATAGATGGTTGATAATTAGATTGATTGATAGATAGATAGATATTGATGGATGATGGGTAGATGGATGGGTAGATGGATGAGTGATAGGTGATAGATAAATTAGATAGATGGACAGATAGACAGACAGACAGACTAGACAGATATACATGGAGAAAGAGACAGAAAGAAATAGAAAGAGAGAGAGAGAGAGAGAGAGATAGCAAGAGCCCTTAGACTTACATACTGCTTCATAGTGTTTTGCAGCCCTCTCTAAGGTGTTTACAGAGTCAGCCTATTGCATCCCAACAAACCGGATCCTCATTTGACCAGCCTTGGAAGGACGGAGGGCTGAGCCAACCTTGGAGGATTGAGCCTCACGCCTCCTAATCCACTCCTGCAGGACGCACCGGCGTGGATCTCTTCTCCTCCCACATGTACCGCTTCCACCTGAAACAGTGGACCTGGGAGCTGGTGATTCCTTCAGGAGGGAAAGCGCCTGCAGCAGCCGGTCACTCCATGGTCTTCCACCCGGCTTCCCGTACTCTCTTGGTTTACGGTGGGCACCGGCCCTCCACTGCTCGGTAGGTGGGCAATTGTGTGTGTGTGTGTGTGTGTGTGTGTGTGTGTGTGTGTGTGTGTGGAAAACCCTCCCACTGTATCTTTTATAGTGGTATCTCGGTACTTGTCTGCGATTCGTTCCAGTAGGTGGGACGCGTACTCAAAACAAGTACTGAGCAAACCCTGTGACATGCTACGCAGACCTTTATTTCGGCCTTAAGGAGTAGCAAGTCACAATGCCGGCAAGGACTACCTTGCATATCGACCGCTGGGAGAAAGATCAATCAATCAGAATAGAGCTGGAAGGGACCTTGGAGGTCTTCTAGTCTGACCCCCTGCTCAAGCAAGAGACCCTATACAATTGGAGACAAGTGGCTGTCAATCTCTTCTTAAAAATCACCAGTTTTAAAGCACCCACAATTTCCGGTGGCCAGCTGTTCCACTGGTTAATTGTTCTCCCTGTTAGGAAGTTTCTCCTTAATTCTAGGTTGCTTCTCCCCTTGATTAGTTTCCATCCACTGTTGTTGTTTTTCCTGCCTCCCGGGCTTTGGAAAATAGGTTAGCCCCCCCCTCTTCTTTGTGGCGGCCCCTCAAATACTGAAATACTGCTATCACGTCACCCCTAGTCCTTCTTTTCTCTAGACCAACCGGTGGGCCGCAGCAAAATTTGGGTGGTCCGCAGAGAAATGGCCCCCCGGAAGCAATTCATCCGGGCCGCGTGGGAAAACAAGGCTGCTCCGCCCACATGGCCCGCCCACCCGCTGGGCCCCACCCTTCAGCCGAGCGCAAACCTTGAGACTGGAGTAGAGAGTCCATGTGAGCTGGAACTGGAAGCGAGATCGACGGCGGGGGAGGGAAATCCGCCCCGGGGTGTCTTGCTGATGTCAGTGGGAAAGTTGGTCCCATATGCCAGAGCTACAATAGTCACAGCAGTGGCCCTTTGGTCACCCTGGAGCGGCTCCTCCCATCGGGATGACTACAGCTCTGAAATATGGGACGGCCCGTGGTGGCTGGAAGGAGATAACGTTGCTGTTGTGTGTGTGTGGGTGTGTGCGTGGGTGTGGAATGTGGCACAAGTGGGCTGAAGCAGCGGTGACTGGAAGAAGCAGAAATTTGCACCTCCCTTCATTGCGGTATATTTGCGGCAGCCGGTGGCGCCAAGGGTAACACGGTGTTAGGAAATGAGTAGTGGGAGAAGATTTTTCGCTTCAAAACGCATCGAGTACCGAATTGGATGCGTTTTCGAACCATCGAATCCCGAGGTATGATTGTAACGGGACGTAGGAGTGATTGCAAAAGGAAGGACCATGTCGACTTCTCCCATCCTTGCAGGTTCAGCGTGCGAGTGAACACCACGGACCTCTTCCATGTGGACCTGCGTTACTGGAGCACGTTGAGGGCCAAAGATTCACACCGGGGCCCTCGAGAAAGGGCCTTCCACTCCGCCACCGTCATCGGCAACTACATGGTGGTGTATGGTGAGTGTGCAGCAATGCTACTCAAACGTTACGGGAATTGGGGAAGTGAGAATTCTTGAAATGGTTATTACTGGTAAAGCTAGTCCTCGATTTACTTCCTGAAAACAGTGACCTCTGACCGTTTTTCACACTTAAGACTGTTGCGACATCCCCACCCTCACGTGATCAAAACTCCAGACGCTCGGCAACTGACTCATATTTACGACGGTCGCAGTGTCCCTGGGGTTGTGTGATCCCCCTGACGAGCAAAGTCAACGGGGAAGCCAGATTCACTTAACAACTGCAGTCATTCACTTAACAAACGTAGCAAGAAAAGTCGTAAAACGAAGCATAACTCAGTTGACAAATTTTTCACTCAGCCGCATAAATTTTGCTCCCAATTGCGGTCAGATGTTGAGGATTGTCTGTAACATGATTAATGTATATAAATAGCAACTCTTTATTTTTAATATTTTTTTTTTGTAGAGACCTCTTTCTCTCAGGCCAATTCACCTCACAGGATTGTTTTTGAGGGGAAAATAAGAGGAAGAAAGAATATCACACATGTTTGCTGCCTCGAGTTACAGTTTTTATAAAAAAAACACATGAATAAAGATAGGCTAAAAATAAATCTGGTGAACTTTTCTCGAGGGAGAAAAACAAGAATTAGTATTTTAGAAACTATCCCTGTTTGTTTTTTCTTTGCTTCCATCTAGGATGCATTTTCGGCATGAATAGTGGCAAGAAGGGCGGTAAAATAGGCAAAATAGTCTCAAGCAACAGAAATTTGGGCTTAATTGTCATAAGCCGAGGACTACCTGAACAAAGAAGAATTTAAAATGTGAAAGATGTTTTGGGGTCCGCTTTCTTCCCCCTTTTCCTATCCTCCTCCTCCTTCCTCTGCTTTGTCTCTCTTCCAGGGGGCAACGTTCACATCCATTACCATGAAGAGAAATGTTACGAGGACGAAATCTTTTTCTACCACTTGGGCTGCCACCAGTGGGTCTCTAGTCATGAGCTGGCACCTCTCATCACTCAAGGTAATAGTGGGGAGCGGGGGATCCTGGTCCCCCACAGGTTTTTGTGACAAAACATGGATCAATCCGTGTTTCAGGAGCGTTTCTGAAATCTATTTATCGAATCAACAAATACATAGAGCCGTCCAGAGTTTTTTGCTCAGATGGGTGGCCGCAGATGTAAAATTAAACCAACTTCCTGTGATGACCCAGGGCCTGCCACAAAGGCAACACAGTCAGATAATCCGTAAGAGTCCCTTTATTAGCTCCAATTTTGCCCCCAATGTCCTGGTTACCTTTTGAGCTGGAGAAAAATTCTCCCAGGAACAGCGTTTGGCTGCAGAGAATCAAGTCCAAAACATGGTCAACACAAACTGTAACTATAAAACCAATCAAGCCAAACTGAGGTAATTAGTTTGGCAGGGCAGGAACAAGAATTCCAGACGTGAAGATACAGCAAAACTCACACGGTTGGGAAGATGCCAGGAACACAGATAAGCAAAAAGACAAGACGGGATAAAGTCACATTTGCTCCCAGCAGCTGCCACAGCATTCAGTTCTTTTAAACTTTCATTCCCAGGTGTGCCTAATGAAGGGAATCAGGACCCTTTTCTCCCCCGTAAGCCATGCAACTCACGTTGCTCCCTTCTCCCTTCCTCCCTGCGTGCCCTAGAATGAAGATGGGGTGGGCCTGGGTCTTCCTCTGGACTCCCTCTCCCTTGTTCTACCTCTCCCCTGCTCTGCCCAGTCGGACTTTGCCCTTCTCCAGTTTCCTCCACATCCAACGGAGCCACACTCCCGCTCCCTGTCAACTGTGTGTCTTCCTCCTCGGATTCAGACTCTAACAGGGGCATGACCTTTCCAATGCTCAGTTTATTTCCATTAATTCTTTTTTTTTTGAAGAAAACAAAAAAAACATCCTTGATTTCACTGTCTGTAAATACGAGGAAAGCACTCATTGTACACTTTCTTGGAAAACTCATGTAGCGGAAGTACAGACCAATTTGTTGTATTTCGTCTCTCCCTCAGAGCACGAATCCAAGGCTTTGGCCCAGGCGCGTGGCCGGTATTCCCACGTGGCCACAGTGATGAATGGAAATGTGCTCCTTGTGGCAGGAGGCTATAGCGGGGTGCCACGGGGTGACCTGCTGGCTTATAAAGTGCCCACGTTCGTCTTTCAGGTGCCGTCTCAGATGGTAAGTGACTCTTCCACCTTTGGGGTTCTGGTTTCGGGGGTAGTTGGGTCTACTTAAGCCACCAGGCTACAAAATGGGAGACTGTGAATTCCAGTCGCGCCTTAGCCAGGAAAGCCAGCTGGGTGATTTGGGCCAATCATCAGGAGACTGGGAGTTCTAGTTCTCGCCTTAGCCATGAAAGCCAGCTGGGTGACTTTGGGCCAATCATCAGGAGACTGGGAGTTCTAGTTCTTGCCTTAGCCGTGAAAGCCAGCTGGGTGACTTTGGGCCAATCATCAGGAGACTGGGAGTTCTAGTCCTCGCCTTAGCCGTGAAAGCCAGCTGGGTGATTTGGGCCAATCATCAGGAGACTGGGAGTTCTAGTTCTCGCCTTAACCGTGAAAGCCAGCTGGGTGACTTTGGGCCAATCATCAGGAGACTGGGAGTTCTAGTTCTCGCCTTAGCCATGAAAGCCAGCTGGGTGACTTTGGTCCAATCATCAGGAGACTGGGAGTTCTAGTCCTCGCCTTAGCCATGAAAGCCAGCTGGGTGACTTTGGGCCAATCATCAGGAGACAGTGAATTCTAGTTCTCGCCTTAGCCATGAAAGCCAGCTGGGTGACTTTGGGCCAATCATCAGGAGACTGGGAGTTCTAGTTCGATGTCCTAGACGTCCGGGCTGCCTAAATTAATACGAGGTGTCACTGACCAGTTGTTCTTCTCTCCCGGCCACAGTACCATCTGGATTACTGCTCTATTTACACAGAGAAAAGCATGTGTGCCAAGGACCCAGAATGCGCTTGGTGCTCCCGAGGTTGCCAGAGCACTCAGCCCCGCAATCTTGTGAGTAGCCTGGAAGTGCCGCAAGACGCAAATTGCGGCGAATGTCGTAGACGTGGTGCGCACTTAGCTGCTGTTTCTGGAGGGGAGGGATTTTCCCCCCCCCCATTTGCTACCCATGTCAGCTGTTAACATTTCTGCAGCGTTTTTGGTTGTTAAGCAAATCGCTGCCGTTGTTAAGTGAATCGTGTGGTCGTTAAGTGAATCTGGCTCCCCTCCCCCTTGACTTTGCCTGTCATAAGCTGGTTGGGAAAGTTGCCAACGACCATCACTAGATCCAGGGCTGTTATAACTGTCGGAAATATATGCCAGTGGCCAAGGGCCCGAATTTTGATCATGTGATTTTTAGAGACAGTCATAAGTATGAGGACTTGCCGTAAGTCCTGTTTGTTTCTGTGCCGTTGTAACTTCGAATGGTCCCTAAGCGAATTATTGTAAATGGAGGACTACCTGTATAGAAACCAAGTGGATGGATGGATGGATGGATGGGAAGGGAAGATGGGAGAGAGGGAGAGATGGAAGAAGGGAAAGGAAGGAAGGAGAATGTGGGAACAGAAGAAGGGAAAGATGGAGAGATGGCAGAAGGGGAAGG